GTCCAGAAGAGATAACAATAAGATCCAAATGGCATTCAAGAAATGATATATGCACTTGTTACAACCTTGAGACCATTTATGCATGCCCACTTATGACCTTTTATGCATACTCAACCTTGAGAAATTGAACTCGACACTTTTCAGCCTTTTTTGTGAACATTTCTATGAAGCTTATAGTTGAATCATCAACTTGCTATTTCAAGTTTATCAAATTGTGTTTTGTAACATTACGTTAAGGTCAACAAAATCTATCATGAAAGCTCTTTTCCATGACATCCTAGGTTTGCATTGAATTTGGTGGAAGGAAGGAATGTAATGTAAAAAAATGTTCTTGTACAATATAAAAGGAACAATTGAATTTTATGGATTTTTTTTTAATTTCCCTCTATGTTTTTTGCACTAAACCTTCGAATATGCTATATAGTAGATTTTTCATCTTCTTGGAAAAAGGTAGCAGCATTTGAAGTTTTTTAACCTTTGAGAAGAGGCAACAATTTGTCCACCTACTCGAGATAAGGTTTCCTATACATAAGCATTTCCACGAGTTTAAGTTGTATGCATAAGTACCTTTTGATTGTACCGATCGTGAGCATGATATCCAATAAATTTTTTCCAAGATGTTTCTTCTTGATTGCAGTTGGATAACCACACATGCTCTTATGATGGAGGGGGCATTCTAGAAACCTTGTTGGAATTGAATCATAGATGAAGGATCACCTTGTGGATACTCTTGATTTAAATACATATTATCTTTTAACATGATTTTTTGGTACCAGTCGTGCAATATATTGGTAACTTGGATTATCAATCCATTATTGTTCACCAATATAACCACCAACTGATCTTGGTTGGTTTGGAATTGATACATCAGTTCTTGGTAGGTATATTTTTCTATTAACTAAGATAAGTGGGTAATGGCCCAATTGTTTTCTAATCAAATAATCAACAATTAACCTTTTGTATGGGTTATTGGGAAAAAGGTTTGTCTTGACATGTAGTTTGCCTATAGAATATTTTTGTAAGGCGAAACTTACAACATGTCAATTGGTCCAACCGCTTTAGACATCTTTCTCTCTATATGTATTGTCAAATTAAAGATTAGTCTGATTAAACATGTCATTTTCCATTAGGCACCTCTAGGGTTTATAGTGGCAAAAATATTAGGTTGAGATTTTACAAGTATAAATGGTACTTAGGATATAAGAATTGGTTCAAGTGGGATGATTAATTGTCGCAACGGTTATATGAATTTTATTATTTGTATGTTCATGGCCTTGATTCTCTTGAACTTCTTCGATTGCAAAAGTAATAGAAATGTTACAAGAACGAAATTGTTTAGGCTTCAACACCTTAGATTTCTGAACTTTATTATGAACCATTGATTTTACAATGTCGGCTTGGTACTAAGAGGCTTGATACATGATTTCATGTATCCACGTATCTATTTATTTAATAATAAAATATGTTGCCATTATCACTGATGTTTTAGATAGATCAACATATGTGTCTTCAAAATCATTAGGAGCAACCACATATGTTGTCATTCCTAATGTTTATGGATGTTTGTATGGTCTTTGTTGGCACGACCTCTTTATACTGGTGAATATGGTTTATCCATGTTAATAAGGCTTTTTTTTCCTAAATATGTGTGCTTATGCCAAACATGGTTTTGGCTCGATGAACAAACCTTCAAGTGATTTTGGTTGTAGTGTCCCACAAGAAATGTCAAAGTTATTGTTGAATTGAAAAGTTGACCGAGGTATAGGCTACTAGTTGTCAACAAAGATTTTTTTTACTCACCTAACAATCGACCGCCTAAAAGAACATTGTGTGGACTTTTTTTAAAAAGGAAAATATGACAGAAAAAACAAAGCAACCAACCATAACACTCCCAACCACCAGGCGAGAGGATTATAGACGACAAAGAAAAAAAAAGAAAAAACACAAAAGCCAAAATCCACACAAAGCTAGATCTCTCCAGTACAAGGACGCCTCTAAAAGCAACAAGCCCATAAAAAACTAACAAGAACACCACCAAGGGAGGCTGAAGCCATTCACCCCGCTATTAGCTCAAGAACATGATATGGTTCTCAAGCCAGTCTGAGAAGGCACAAGAGTTTCCCACAAACCTACCAAGATACCATTTCTAAGCCATAACGATGCTCATGTCTTCCACATCTTTTGGTGTCACCGAAGAACTTGAAAAAACTAAATCATTCTTGGATTTCCAAATGACCAAACCACAACATGCCAAATCATCATACCCCCTATAGTCCTAGATCCTCCACTTAAAGAAGTAAACATCTAGAAAATGATCAATATATCTCTAGGAAAAACAGCACACCAGCCCAACCACCTAAAAGTCCTATGCAAGACAGTGAATACAACCTCACAAGTCAGAAAAAGATGAGAGAACGACTTAATGAATATGGAGCAAAAAGGGCATGAAATAGACCCAGATGTCAACTAGATTCCCTTCTTAAGTAAGTTATTTCTATTGGGATACAATCCTGAATAAGCCGCTAGGAAAAAACTAAAACTTTAGAGGGGACCTAACTACACCAAATAGACGGAAGAACTAACTCAACAAAAGAGACCTGTCGACCTAAGGTGAGTTGACAAGATAAAATGCAGGAGTAGGCAGAAGATAAAGAATAAACACCATCACTTGCCTCACGCCACCTCCAAACATCACTCTCAGACAAATGTGTAAAACCTCTAATAACCGACTGATGGTCGCTTAAAAGTGCCAACTCATAGTCAAAAAGAAAATGTCTACGCTATTTAAGGTCTCACATTTAGTTCTCTCCCTCCCGTAAACAGAAGCCCCCAACACGACTAAAGGTCTGATTCGAAATATAAAAAAATGTCTAGGGAGTCTAAGACGTAGATTAGTATTTCTAACCCGAATATTCTCCCAGAAAGAGATAAGAAGACTAGAACCAACTTTTAATAAGAGACCATATTTAAACTAGTTAGTAATGTCATCATCTTTACAATCAAAAAGAAGAAACTCCTCTCCACTAACACTGTGTGATTCTAAATCATCTATATGTCGATCTAAGCAAACAAACTATCTATTTTTAAATATAAATAATATTTAATAATAAAAATTATCATGAAATCAAAAATCTTAATTATTAGATATAGATATCAAAATATTATATTAAATTATATTTTAAAGTCAATTTAATAAAGTAGTTTTTATAAAGTTAATATGAATCGTCATTTAGCTATAAAAATTCTTAACTTCTTTACAATGGTATTCTCTTTAATAGATAAATTAAAGTGCTTAGTCTATTTTTTACTACAAAAAGATAGAAAGTATTGGGTACCACGTGTTTGTCTTTTTGTTTTCCGACCAATCACTAAAAGTAAAACATATGTTGTCATGCATCTTAACATAGGAAAAAAAGATTACTGTTAATAAAATATATTCGTATATATACCAACGTTGGTGACTAAAATATTAACTTGTATTAGTATTTAGCTTTTGAAATACGTAGAGAAGATGACATACTTACGCGTTGAGAAAAAACTGAAAATAAATATAATATGATCGGATAGTCAGCGCGTAAGAACACGTAGTGACAAAGAAAATGTGTTTTTTTCCATTAACATATTCTGTTCTGTTCTCTCCATCATTAAACGCGGATTTAAATCTGCGACATCTTATTTATTTATTTTTAAAACAATAAATTTTAGATATTAAAATTAAAATAAGTAGTCATTATTTTAAAAAATTTAAAAAAAATATTTGTTATAAAACAGAAAGAATACTTTTATGAGATAGAGAAATAATCTATTTAATTGTGCAGATGAAATATTATATTTAAATAAAATTAAGAGAAGAAACAGAAGATTTGCAAAAGATACTAAACTCCATAATGGATGAGAGAGAGTGAGATTAGAATGACTTACACGTCTTAATCTTCCATGGCTAGTTTATTATACAAAAAAGTTTCTTGACTAAAAAAGAAAAGCCTACGTGTCAAATTTTTACATCATCCTTACGTGTAATTAGCGTAAAAATTGATCTAACGGTGGAGGTTTGAGTTTTAGAAAATTTTGATATAAAGTTTTTTTTATTATAAAATGCCTTAATACTAGAATATAATTGGATACATGTGCATGTTGATTAAGTTCAAATAAAATAAAATAAACATTATAAAACAAATACATAAACAAAGTCATCTGTTACATATTAATTTTATTTTTTCAAAAGCTAAAATTTCGTTTATTTTTTAATAATTAAAAAAAAAAAAAAGAAATTCATAGTTAAGAATAAATAAGAGCCCAAAGTTCATTTATAGTTTCTTTTTGTTGAGGTTTCTGTTCCTCCTTGATTCATTCACCTGCACTAATCTCATATATTTTGAAGATAATCAACTCAGGTTAGTAACATTAATTTTCTATCTTTCACTTTTAATAGAGATTAATAATATTAATAATAATAAAAATTTCACTATAATTTGAGAACAAATCTTGACATAGAAGGAACAAATTGAAATCATTACCATTATTGTTGACATGAAAGTAACAATTAGGTCAAATCATGGAATGAAAATTTCATGGCCGGTGTGACTTGTCTCAGATCTAGGGAACCGTTTTTCTTTTCTTTTTTTGTATAATCTCTGTTATTATTAGTTTTTTTTTTCAATTTTCAGTGACATCAATGAGTTTTTTGATAATTGTTTCTTGAATAATCAATTGTTTGATTCATAGGATTAACAGTAGAAGCTTAGAACATGTGAATTCAGAAAGGATCTATTTTTGGATTTTGATGTGTCTGAAAAATTGACTTTTGTTTCAGTTATTTGACTTTTCTAGGAGGTTGATTTGTAAAGCCTTTAAATTTCTTGCCGTAGGAGAATTCTTGATGTTTTGATTCTGATTGTAACTGTGTCATAAAAAAAAGCTTAAGTGAAAAGGGAGAAAAAAAGTGATTAAAGGTTAGGAGCTTATAGGGTATTTGGGAATTAGGTTCTTGCTAAAAGGCAATGGAGGAAATATCTTCGAGTGTTGCAGTACCGTTTACGCTTGGAAATTTGATTCAGAAAGATGCTGCGGTTACGACTCATATGGAGATAACTGGATTAAAGCTTATGGCGAATACTGCGGCAGCTTTGATGTTAAATCCTGCAGGTGGAAATGAAAGTCACGCTGATGTTAGTCTGCAACGGAAAATGATGGTATCTGCGGAGGTAAAGGAGAATCAAGTTGGAGTTGTTTCGGAAATGGTGATTGAGTGCGAGAGTAATTGGGTTTTGAGTGAAAGCGGTAAGCAGACAAATAAGGAAGATGAAATCATGTTAGCTGTGGATTTTCAGTGTCTGCGTGATTCGGGCTCTCGATCTGGGGCCGATTCGCCAATAATTGTGACGGTTGGTGATGATATTCATGGAAACTTTAGTAGTATAAACGAGGTGCTTCCGGGGCTAAAGCCAGAGCAGAATACGGTTTCTATTGCAATGGATGTTGAGAGTGAAAGTCGATATACATCAGAAGAGGCTGATCCAAATCTATCTGCTATGATTCTTGATCAGTTGCCTGTGGAGAACAAAACGTCGAGAACAAGTAACCAGAATGGGTTAGAATTGAGTAATGGTCCTCTTTGGGGTTTCTCGTCAATTTGTGGAAATAGACCAGAGATGGAAGATGCTATTGCTGTTAAACCTCAACTTTTTCAAGTCCATTCGCGGATGCTTATGGACGATGAACACGTAAATGAAAACTCAAAATACTCACCAGCCCATTTTTTCAGTGTCTATGATGGACATGGGGGCTTTCAGGTATGCGTCTTAATCAAATCACACAATTTGTTTATTGAATATTTAATTTATCTATCTGAAAGTATGTTGTTTTAATAGGTTGCTAATTACTGTCGGGAGCGTCTTCATTCAGTATTGATTGAAGAGATTGAAGCTCAACAATCGAGTTTGGCAGAAACAAATGGGAGAAATGATTGGCAGGAAGATTGGAAGAAAGTATTCTTCAACTGTTTTCAGAAAGTAGATGATGAGGTTGGAGGAATCGGTGCAGGTAGTAGTGGAAGTAACGGCGGGGGATCTGAGTCTATCATTGAACCTATTGCTCCTGAGACTGCTGGTTCGACTGCAGTGGTTGCAATTTTAAGTCAAACCCACATAATAATTGCAAACTGTGGGGATTCAAGAGCTGTCTTGTATCGCGGGAAAGAAGCTATGGCGTTGTCTGCTGACCACAAAGTAAGAACTTTCATCCCTGTTCTGTAATATTTTTTATGAATTTATGTCGGAAGATGAAGTTATCTGATATAAGAAACTTCACGTTTACAGCCGAATCGAGAGGATGAGAGAGCAAGAATAGAAGCTGCAGGAGGAAGAGTCATACATTGGAAAGGATACCGAGTTCTTGGTGTCTTGGCGATGTCAAGGTCCATAGGTACGTGTCTGTTGCATGGTTGGTTTTCTTGTAATTTGATACTACTGCACTTGCATGTTATTATTCTATTCAGTTTGGTGTTAGGAGTTAAAATTTATTGATCAAACCAAACTTGAATGTGATTTCAGCCTTTCATGTTATCATAACCACTGTCTTGTTCAACAGGTGATAGATACTTGAAACCATGGATAATTCCAGAGCCAGAAGTTAATATTATGCAGAGAGAGAAAAACGATGAATGTCTAATTATAGCAAGTGATGGTTTATGGGATGTAATAACAAATGAAGAAGCCTGTGAAGTTGCAAGGAAGAGAATCCTTCTTTGGCACAAGAAATATGGCGACAACGGAACAACAGTATATGACAAAGGAGAAGGAGGAGTTGATCTTGCATCTCATTCTGCTGCAGAGTATCTATCTAAACTCGCCCTCCACAGAGGAAGCGGCGATAACATCTCTATAATTGTGATAGATTTAAAGGCTGTGAGAAAATTGAAGAGAAAGACATAACATGTTTTTTTTTTATTATCATGTTGAAATATCTTTAGTTTTGCTATTGATTTACAGTTTGTATTCAGAATCATTAGAACTTTCTAGTCCCTCACTTTTTCAACAGGGCTAAGTAAGTTATGTATGCTATATAATTCAAAGTGTACAAGGTTGGTTACTGAATGAAACCTTTCCAAGCATCACAGAAGTTTTATTTAAAAATTTAGAGAAAATATTCAAGTTAGCTATTCAAAAAGGAAAAATAAATCAGGCAATTTGTGACATGTTTTAACCAAATAAACTTGCAACTCTATAATATAATTATAAAATTGTACAACAAATGATAATCTCTGCATCTTAGGCAAATCTCAGGGGTAAGTTCTGTTGCAATCATAAAATTTCAAACATTTTGCAGCAAGTATCCCTTAACTTAACACTCAATGTTCATTATAATTCTTCACCAAGTTCCAATCATGACAAATCCTTGAACTTGCATCTGAGTTTCTCACAGTTTATTGAACTCAATCACTAAACATAATAAAGTATCTTTGACATAATGCTAGGAGCTGGTTTATCCGACTCATCCGCAAATGCTGCCGACATGCACACGGTAGTCTACAATGGCAAATAAAAAGTCATAAATTGTCAACATAAAACACAAAAGAATCATAAATACAGTTATATATTATTAGGTGGCATTTGTAGTTACAAATTTTCATGGAGCACTATAGAATTCTAACTTTTAAGAATTTTGGGGGAAAGGAGTATTCATATTAAGGATGTCAACAGGGGCGGGAGCGGCGAGTCCTTCTATGCTCCCTGATCTCTCCATCTAAAATGTCCCCATCCCCACCTCAGAGAGATATTCTTTCCCCATCGCCGTTCTCAAAAATCCCCAAGCATTAACAAAAGTATAATTTTCAACCAAATTAATAGTAAAAAGCCTATGACAAATTTTCTTGACAAAGGGCGAATTAGTTGAAAAACATGAGTTCCAAAACATATTCATTAGAATTCTTATGACAGATTGATGCATTGTACTTATTTATATTTGATCTATATTTAAGAATACCTGATAAATTGGTAAATAAAGAACATAGGATTATAGCAATAATCTCCTGCTTAAATTTAAAACAATGTCCCAGAATGGAACCTACCATCTCTTATAATAAGGTTGCGAGTGGAGATCCTGCTTTGGAGAAGTAAGCCGAGAGATCTACATGCTGGTCATCATACATGCTGATAAAAGGAAGTTCCTGGAGTTTCAATCAGATATATAGCATCAGAAAGACTATTATACACGGCATATATCTATACACAGATAAGATTTTCACATACCAAAAGTTCCTGTGCAGACAGTCTATTCCCCGGATCTTTCTGTAGACTAAACAAAGAGACGGTTGAAAGATCAGAACAAGACTCATGAAAATCACAGAGACATAGAGTTCATGAAAAAACAACCAGCTGAATTACGGTGGAAGGTGCCTACTTTGGAGATATGTTTAACCAGATACGGAGACTGGTCTATGAAGTTAGTTAGAAAACATATCTTGAAAATTAAAATGATAATGAAAATAAGAAATGCTTTAAATTTTCACTATTGTTGTCTCCATAGATATCTACAAAATTAAGGCTCCTCAAACATCTAAACAAATATCTGGTTAACACTTTAAAACTGATAGCTTTATTTAAAAGTGTACTCTCTTATTTTCTGAGTATCTACGCGCATACGCATGTTCATTCTTTGGGTGAGTTAGAACTCCTGACTGCACATTACTAGTTAGCAAACTAAACAATTACCATGCCGAGATAAATGAGCAAAATTCTGGAGAAAATTGTTCAGATGGAGCACTAGGAGGAGGCTTGTCGACAATAGTTTCAATAAGCTCAAATATACTTTCCCATCTTTCACTTTGATCTGGTGGCATATATGGAAACCGTCCCATAGCACACTCGAGCAATATAAGTCCCAAACTCCATATATCACTTTTGTAGTTGTAGCCACCCTGGCCTCCATTGATTCTCTCTGGCTGTAAAATTGACATATGGACTTTATTTTCCATGAAATGGTGTTGTAGTAAAATACTACGCATATATGGTTTCATATTTTACTTACAGACATATAGTTGTACGTGCCAATGAAAGTATTCGCTTGACCAGATGTACTTTCCATAATTGCACTAACACCAAAATCGGTAATCTTTACTTCGCCTGTATGGTTTATCAACAAATTAGAAGGCTTCAAGTCTCTGTGGATAATATGTCTTTCGTGGTGAAGATATGCTAAACCCTTTAGAACCTATATCATTACAAAAAGAATAAAAGGGATTAGCTCCTGTTTAGGTTCGGTAAAAATAATTATAAGTGGAAAGACTGAAAAACAACATTGTCTTACTCCTCACCTGTTTACAGATGGCAGATAGACGAGGCTCTGGAATTGTTTTAACTTTCTTCAGAAGATCAGCCAAAGAACCTCCATCCATGTACTCTAAGATGATTGATATGACACCGTTATCATAGAATGATTGGTAGCAGACAACAACGTAAGGACATTGTGCTGCTTGATTAATTTTCAGCTCTTTAGCTATCTGCTTGCGCACGGGTTCTTCAATATTCATTTGAATTGTCTATAATTGTGAAGAATGGATACATAAGGGACTAAAGAACAACGTGGAATGGAAGTACAAGAATAACTCTTCATGAAATTATATCATTAAACACTAAGTGGAAAACCAACATTTTATAGTATGCGCTTTAGTGACACAAACTATGTAAGCAAGACAATTTCCAGATGTGCTTGTTCAATGGGGGTATAAAGAAACGGGAGAAAAGAAGATGCAAACTCACAGCAAGGATTGCTAAGTATACCTTTAATGCAAAAAACTGATTAGTCCATTTGTGTTGCACCAATTGCACCACCCCTCCATTTCCCTTCCCAACAACTTTCACTATGTCGATGTCCGCCAAACTTAACTGGTTGTCTGTTGCCTTGATTGGTGGTGGCTGAAAACGTATAGCATATGTTTAACCCATACATAACATTTTATCAGAATTAAGCCATCACATGTCATGTAACCAAAAAATAAAGCAGGAATAATGACCAAATTTCATTCCCCTAATTATACCGATAAACACAACGGTTGGGGTTATCCGATTTTTTTAACTGAGTCACATATAAAAGTGTGAATATATGAATCAATTACGGGTCCTCAATAACACGCCATGAATTACTACCAATTTATTTAGCTTCCTAAATTACATGGCCAAACAAAAGCATCAAACACAAGTATCCCAACATAGCCTAAGAATCTTAGCCTCTCAACCCCAACAAAACCCCTAAAAAAACCTTTTTCCTTATGATTTTACCCAAATCACAAGTAAGAACAAAAATCAACCTACCCATTTAGGTAATAAAAACCTCAAAATAACAAACCTAAATAAAATTCAGAAATCCTTAAAATCTAATTCATCAGATCCAAAAGATGAAATGGAAAACAAAAAGAACTGAATCAAATAACTTCAAAGAGAATAATGCACAGAAAGTAATTGATAAAGTTTATTACAGCTTCAACTTCAGACTGAGAGACAATTCGAACTCCATCTCTGTTTACAAGCAGATCTCCATCCTTAAACGTTCCACTTTCAGTCCTACAAAACAAAACCACATACCAAAATTTCAAAATTCTGAAAACCCTAACTCAAACAATCACATTCACAAATTCACAAACATAATCTATGCACACACAAAAAGAGAAACTCACAGAAACTTGGCAAAAGCAACTTGATCAGTTGCAGGAACAGATAGTTTGAGACCGAGACCAAAATTTCCTCTGTTCATGATGATAATTGATTGATTATAGGCACAAAAACTTCACACTAATAAATTGAAACTCGCTTTATCTAATCAAAACATAGTATAAATATAATGATAGTTTTGGAGTGAGGATTAGTGAAAATAAAAATTCTAAAATTGAGATTAGTTAGAAAAAAGAGAAGACTCCATTGAAGAAGAAGGAGGAAGGTTTTTGTTGATTTTTCAGACTTTGCTGTCTATTTAGAGTTCTGATTATTTCTCTCTAACTAAAGTTTATAAATTAGTTTTGTTTATTTGTTTGTATGGATTAAAAATAGTTAGTTATTTGTGTATTTTTGGAAAGAGAATAAAAATTTATTTCTGTTTTGGAAAGAAAAATGAAAGTTGACTGGGTATATTTTTATAAATAGAAAATAGTTATTAGTATATTTTATCCAAAAACAAGTTATTTCCACATGAACTAAAAAGTATTATATGGATAGTCAAAATATTTCATATTTGAATATGGATATTTAAAAGAAAAATCAACTTAACAAGTCATACAAATATAAAATACTTTATTTAATAGGATAGTTAAATAATTTTATTTATAATACTTTTCTTTTTTTTAATAATTATTATTATATATTTAGAAAATATTGTTTAAAAAATTAAGATTAAGTTTGATCCAATAAAGAGAGTATGAGAAAATTAAAAAAATAAAATTAAAAGAATTCAAAAGTAACTAGGAATAGAAATATAGAAACTAAGAAATTTAAAGAATTCGAAAACCAAAACAAGTTCGGATATCTTAATAAACAAGCCAATGTTAAAGAATGATCTTTGATCATTGTCATTGTTGATAAGTAGAGCTTTGGTTGAAAGAAGAAAGAATGAAAAAGAGAGAAGAGAGATGGATATAAGGAAGTGATTATTATTATTATTATTATTATGCAAAACTCATCATTGAAATATACATGTTCATACTTTATATAGTTGGTGTTAAGTGCAACTAACTTGCTAACAACCCTAACCACCTAATTGAATTTCTTAACCGTTTTGAATAACTACTTATATTAATGCTACTCTAATATCCCTCCACAAAGTCATGGTGGTGGCTTAGGCAGCGCTTTGGGTTTGGGACGAAAGTCAAGTAACAAGGTTGTGGTGAGAGGTTTCTGATAGTTTGTTGCACCTAAGAGAGAGAGAGAGGGGGGGGGGGGTGAATTAGTTTCTTTGAAATTTTCTAGTTTTAGAGACTGATTTATTACCTTCTTGAGATACGATGAGGGTATGAAAGCGGTAAAGTTAGGATCAGTGTACAACTTTCTTTCTAACAGACTATCCTTGTTCCCTTCACACTTTGAAAGTACTCCAGTTCCCTTTCACCCGAAAGAGATTTCACTATAGTTAGGATCAATGTACAATTTTCTTTCTAACCTATAGGTAGATCAAAGGCTCTTAAACACCTTTAAGATCTAAACACTAAGTACAGGAAGAACAATCCCCTTCAATGCACACACTTTCTTTCAACAATCCTAAACAGCAAGGGGAAATAAATAAATCTGATTTTGTAATGAGTTTGTAACAATGTAAACAATGTTTATCAATGTTGTGATTGATCTTCTCTTTCAATGAGAATTTCCACAAATATCTAAGACTTGTTGCTCAAGAATTTTCTTTCAAAGGATATGAAAATTATGCAGAAAATTCTTTGTAAAAAATAATTTGACTTTAGATGTGGAAAGCTGAAAATATGTTAAAGATTTTTGAAAGAGGAAGTTTTTGAAATTTGAAAGATTAGGTATTTATATTACACAAACACCTCTTGAAATCTCATGCAAATCTTCAGAAAAATTGATGAACAATTGTCATGTTTCAATGGAAACAATTCATGGAAGATTGGTTGAAGAGATGCAATTTTTCAGAATGTTTTTTTTTCAAAAACGTTCAGTGAGCAATTGATTGCACATATAGACCAATCGATTGCACCTTCACAAAAATACTTGAAATTTCAAATTTTCAGCAGAGCAATCGATTGCACTATATAGACCAATTTATTGCACACTGAAACAATAGCGAAAAATAGAAAGATTTTTAAGCATGCAATCAATTGCACTAAAGTACCAATCGATTGCTTACTAAAACAAATGCAAAAGGAATTAAAATTTTGATCATGCAATCGATTTCTCTAAGAGTGCAATCGATTGCACTTACAAAAACTTAGAAAAATTATGTTTTAAAATGCTTGTGTTAATGTGAAAAGTAATGCAAAAGTTTTCCAATGTTTTGAGCAACCAGGACTTAAATACTTGATGAAAATTTTCATTATACCTTCTGAGGAAAACATTTCTTCATGTCAAGTCTTTGTCCTGATTCTGATGTCTTGAAATGGTTGAACATCTTTGCCTTCTTTGTCAAGTGATTTGTCTTCATCAAAACATAAGTTAATCTTTGAGAATCTTGATTTCACATTCTCCTCCTTTTTTATGATGACAAAACATTCTCTTTTTGTTGCTATGTTCTTTCCGACAAGTTTCTCCCCCTCAATATATGAAGTGTTGAGAAGTTCTGATTTTGTATTGAGGTTTGAAGTAGCCTTGTATTTGTACCTTAAGGATCAAGGAAAGACAACAAGCAATAAAAGAGTAACATCCTTCTCCCCCTTTTGACATTATCAAAAAGAAGGGAAAGATTGATAAAAGAGAAATATATATATATATATATATATATATATATATATATATATATATATATATATATATATATATATATATATATATATATATATATATATATATATATATATATATATATATATATATATATATATATATATATATATATATATATATATATATATATATATATATATATATATATATATATATATATATATATATATATATATATATATATATATATATATAGACAAGAGACATATATAATAAATTGAAAATAACATACCAACTAGTCATAAATTGAAAGTACAATTTTAAAGAGTACATAGAAAATAGAAAGTACAAAATTTAAACAACATAAATAACTTAAAGAAACATAAAAAAACATGTTAACAATTTATGACAGATCCATGTTGGGGTCAAAGGTTTGTTGGTTTGGAAATGTTTGCTGGAGAGGTGATGGACGAGTTGGAGGGACAGCCGGGTTGGAAGGATCATAGGGGAGAATGTATAAGTGAGAGTAAAGATAGGAGAATTGTTGATTGACGACCTCTTAGAAATTGTTGATCCTAGTGTTTGTCGACTCTTGAATTGCATTGTATTGGTCGTTTATGAAGGTGTTGAGATTCCCAAATTGTTGAGTCATGTAATCCATCAATTGTTGGTTACTAGGACCATGTTCAGTAGGAGGAGGAGGAGGAACATCACCATCTTCTTCATTCTCTTGCTCATCATTTCCAGCCATACCCTATGCTAATTGATCCTGATCATTGTTATACATGATCTCAATTTGAATTTGCATTCTAGGGTTCATTCTGGTTTCAATTTAATTACTTGCAATATGTTGGGAATTAATGAAATTAAGTTGTACCATTGTGTTCCTCATGAAATTTCAAGCAACTTTCAGTTTTATACTACATGATTTCATGGAGAATTGAGAGAGTTAGCATTTTGAAAGATTTAAAAATGGTGGACGAGGGAGGAGGAAGAAGATGATGCTTGTGGTGGCACGTGTTTTCATATTTTCAAACTTGTTTTATTATTTATTTTCAAGTTATGATTCCATATTCTGAATAGGCATTGCGCCATAATGGTCACTGTGATGTGTTTGAGTGTGTTATGTGTTTTCCAGGTCTGGCGTTCAAGTTCCCCTCGCCCAAGACCTTTTGTATTTTATTTTTGCATGTTTTTCATGTCATCCTAACATATATTATTCTGCGCGCGTTATCTTTCAAACCAAAGCACATGGTCTGGTGGTAGGATTTTTAAACTGTAGCCAGTAGTGCGCGAGTTCAAGCCTTGCATGTGACAAAACATTTTTTTTTATCACTTGTTGTTTCATTGTTTTTTCTCATTTTCTTCCAATCATTTCAACATGTTATTTATCATATGTATTTCCTTCATCCTTTTGAGCCAATTTTTTGCACACTTGTTATTTATCATATGTATTTTATGAATGCATGAAAAAATACCATAAATATTATTTATTTTACCCATTTTCATTATGTTTAAAACTTGTTATTTTTATGAACTTTTTAGGACTTTTCATGTTTGTTTTTGAATTGTTTCCTTGGCGTAATCACCCACTAATGTTTGCGTGATCATGTTATGTCTTGTACCATGTTCAAATGTTATGGCTTTGTTATTCATCATGAATAAACATGCTAAATAGTTACCATGTTCAAGTATTTCCTTCATAAACTTCCACAATGTCAAGCATGCCTATTTATCTTATGTTTTTCCTGTTATACACATGTCTTTATACCATGCTTAATCGTACTTGTATATTAACTTTATTCTTGGTGTTATACTTGTTAAAGCTTGATAAATCTTGTCTGTTAAGTTTCTCTTGACATTAATGTTTATATACACCATTATCTAAACCTTAATTCAACCTTAGGACTTTTAAACCATTTTTATCTACAAACCTTTAACCTTTCCAGAGACAATCATTAATCTCTTGTAACTTTTTAACCCTTCCTTCAAACCTTGCCAAAGACATAGTTATCAATCTCTTCTCCCTTTGCCACCTTTGGCTTTACATTCATAATCAACCTTGTCATAGAGATAGCCATTAATCTCTCCTCCCTATACAACCTTTAAACTCTTTACTCAAATCCTCTCATAAGAGATAGCCATTAATCTCTTAACCTTTACAATCAACCCTCACAAGCTTTACTTTTAATATTTTTCCCTTTTATTATCATGGTTCTTAGAACCCTAACAATCTGTAGTCCCTGAACTACAATTGCTCTGACTTCTTATTTAGGATATGTAGGGATAGGATTCTGAGATCCTAACGAGCACGCCTCTTTATTTTCACCCCCCTTTATTCATATACATTACAAAAATAACAAAAAAAAA